TATCTTTACCCTTTCAATATTTTTCCCCTTTCACTATAAAATATTATACAACATTCATTAAAACCTCCATGTTTATTTTAAGAACTGACCTTAAACTAGTAAAAAATAAAGCAATATTCTCCATGGGAGAATTAAATGAAAATAATACCTTAAGCTACAAAGTTATTTGTGAACTCCGGACAGTAGTGAACTGCTTAAGAACATTCTTGGTAAAAGGGCCATTAAATGGGCTAAACTATAATCAATAGTCATCACATTTACACCAAATCTTGCTTATGAAAATTGACAAAATAAATACTTGCAAATTTACGATGGAATATCTTTTCCACACAAACTCCTTTAAACCGAAAGTAGCACATTCAATTCAAAATGTTGCTTCTGAAGGCAACAGCATTTAGGCGCTGTATCACTCATCTTAACTTTACTACTGGCTGAAAGTAATGTGCCAGCACAGCACTAATAAATGCTATGACTTAAAATTCAAGTTTGTTTCATAATCACTACAATTATTAATTAAGAAAATGAATGAAAAGATCTTTGTGACACTTTTTTTTGGTGTCTATGCAAGAATTTTTCTCTTTGGATTGCTTTTACACATTTAAAAAAAAAAATTAAAGAATTTTCAAATAACACCAGCCCATAAAAACAGAAGGAGGTGCAAATAAAACAAGGCTTGCAATTTTCACCTTCGCTGCGATACATTCGTGTGTTATCAGGCAGAAAAGGACTTTGTGAAATTACTTGGTCAAACCAAAAAGTTATTTCCTTCTGACAATACTTAAAATAATGGATTAGCAGCAAACAATTCTAGTACACTCACATTGTCTGCAACAAAAGTCATGTAATGAGATCAGTCAAGCAGGGAGAAGAGTGACATAGGAGCAATTAAAGAGTTTCACTGATAAAAAAATAAAAAGGTAAATGAAGGATTTAATTAGTACAAAATTTCCAGTTTCATTTCAAGTTTGGGTGCAGTTTTTGTAATTCCATTTTAAAATATTTTGGAGAAAATTTTGTTCTCATGGACATTTTACTTACCTTTTAATCTCACTATTAACTAATTTCCCTTGTAATACATTTATTTATGTCCATACTTCTTCACATTAGGGCATTGTAATTAAAATATTAAAAAGCTAAGAATGACAAAATGACAAAAACTAACACCTACACACGAAACAAGAAAGTCAATTTTGATACAACTCTCAATGTTAAAAAGGCAACTGCATTTTCAACAGAATAAAACATTTAAAAATCATTTGAGGGCAAACAGTTCTGATAAACATCAACAATCCCATGCACAAATACTCCAATCACAAAATGATGTTTTAAATAAAGCTGGCAGTAGTAAAATGGACAATTCAAAACAGCTAATTTTTTTAAGTTGTAGTTTGATAGAGACAAGATGAAACGGAAGAATGGCAGTGCAAATCTCTGGAGGCTTCTACAGTTGCACATTACATAATATCTAGGGCGCCTAAATACTTCAAGCATTATCCTAAAATTTGGCCATACTTAAAAAACCAATGTGTATTACCATAAGATCTCTCAAAGATAATCAGATCTTAGAAATATATTAAAAACAAATTAAGTATTTTAACTCAGATTGCTGAAGTAGTGATTCAGAATTACTTCCCTATAAAACTGTCTAGTCAAGGTAACACTCTGCCTCTGTTAATATTGCAACTAAGAACACATGCTAGCCAGGTGATTTTAATGTGGGCCTATATGTAAAGCAGGTCTGAAAACAAATCTTTGATTAACTAAGTAATTCTAGTATGAATAAACAGAGTGCACGACTATACATACATAGAATTCCTTAAACTGTGCGGACAGGGCACACCTATTATCTCCCATTACACATACTAGAGAATACAATCCAATGTTTATAACCATTACATCCTTCAGAAATCTACATTAACCAAAAAGTAAAACTAAGGCTCTCCTTACTCACATTTATTTGCAGCACAGCTTTATATACACTGTCTATGGTTTCAAAAATAAACCATAAACATTATCAATAAAAAACAGCAAGTAACTGCAGCATCAAATCAGAATTGTCAAAGTATTTCTTCAATGCCAGCAGTTCACAATGCAGTGTTTCAGAACATCTGAGCTGTAATTAAGCTGCATTACTGTAGCAAATATGTATGGGCTTTCACTAAAATGTTAAAACGTCAATTTTTTTTTTTTAACCCCGTAACACACTGACTGGATTGCTATGTCTTTCAAATTTCAGTTTTTACAAGTTTATATACCATTCAGCAAAGTCACAAGCTAACTAAGTAAAAACAGCTAGAAAAGCAGAATATAGAAATATTAAATACCCAGGTAATCACCTATTCTAATATCAAAATCAAGGGCAAGAGACACTTAATTAGTATGTTTAATTCACTGAACGCAAGATTAGATTAATGCATATCCAAAAACGCTATTGCAATGCTTTTTTAAAGGACAGTAAAAATGTTGTCATAGTAACATTATCTTTAGATATTGCTGAACACAAGACTTTCCCTGAGGTGTAAACATCAAATAACTTGAACAGCTTTACACATCAGCCCCATTAAACAGTTTATTACAACACTACATCTATTGTAATCAAAGTGGTGCTGTTTACAGACATTATCATATGAACATTTTTAAACAAGAACAAACTACTATAAAAACAAGCATTTACTTGACTTTTGTTTTTCCAATTGCTTGCACATTATAATGGCCAAATGTATATAACCAGTAATAAAGTTGCAAAAGCTTTAACATTTTAAATCACACAGGTTTCCTTCAAATAAAACAGTTAAGCAACATAAAAAATAAAAGTAGAGCTACTGGTTACCATTTGTGCAGATTTGCTTTATTCAGATCTATTCCTGTCCACTTTATCCATGAATCCTTACAGGTTCAGTTCAATCACAAGAAGCAAACTGCTGGACAAGCGTCATTTTCCCCCATGAAGACTGTTTTGTCTTGGAAGGTGTTCCTCTTCCTTCAGCTGTAATGTGTCAAAATTTGTGATGTAGATTTTGCTATTCCCCATAATACACAGAAAAACGCTGGCTTAACTATACATACACAAGTCGTGCATCTAGTACTTCATTGTTAAATATTCTAACACAAAATAAGAATTAACTGAAACAGTAGCTGCCTTTGTGGTGGAGAAATGCTCCCAATTCTATGATGATTAAAACAGTCTGATTTCATTCTTCTAAGATTTAGTGCTTTAGAAATTTAATGATCGAAACAAATTAAATCATGGCAGCTACTGTTTCTGAGACGATGGAAACATTCATAAGTCACTTTCTAAAATATGCATACTACAAAAATAAATAAAAAATGCCTGGATGACTTTATTGTAAATATTTTTTCATTCACCCACATATCAATCCTATGTTGACTCATTTAACAATTAAATGCTACGCTGAATATAAAATCCAATGAACTATTTTACAAATTAATTGTATTTATTTAACAGCATACAGGAACTTCTGAAATTGTTATAAATCAAATGGTGCTTCAGGTTACAAAATTTATAAATAAAATTTATAGATAGCTCAGTATGGACAATTAAATAAATGACATCCACATACAAATCTTTAGACAATACAAATTTGAAACATTTCCTTTACTTTCAACTCTATTCCACCACCTATTTTAAAATAGCTAATATGTAGTATATAAACTAACCAAAAACAAGTTAAATGGAATCTACAATAAATTTCACTGCAAGTTCACATAAAAGAGGAAAAAAAAAAAACAGAATAAATTTGATAAACTAAAATTTTAAGAATACATATATATGCAAACTTCAGGTAAAGGTTCACAAAAGAAACATTCAATTGACTTGATGTAAGTGATCACTGAAACACCAGAGATTTAAAATATAAATTCCAAGACATCATTTCAGTAATAAAGTGATATGTCAAAAGGGCACAATGTTTAGTGATATTCTGCCAAAAAATAATTTTAAAAAATATTTTTGCTCCACAATTAAAATTTCCATTGCTACTATACATTTTTATCTTTTCTGTCTTTTCTTCCCCATCTAGGTTGTAAGCATCTTAAGACATTCAGTACACATACACATTCCTACTGCCTTGTAGTAGACACTTAAATTTTACAACTGCAAAGGGAAAAAAACTGGTTATACTCCTGGACTTTTTTAGTTTCTATATGTCCATATTTTCAGGCACTTAAACTATTTTTAATTTAAACACCTTTAATTGCAGCACCCTACATCTTCGGTTGCTGAAGCTACTTAGTGAAATTAATTTAGTAGAAAAAAAATCTAAAATGGTAGCTTTCAAATGTTTTATTTTTGTTACTTGCGATGCACTTTTAAAAACCTGGTAAAGTATTAAAAAGAGAGGTGTATGTTTTATTCTGAAAAAAATTATTGAAAAAGTCATAAATCTTACTGAGAAAGAACGCTATCTCCCTAAGTTTTTTGTTGTGCTGGAAGGGATGCAGAAAAAAGATCAGGTCACTAGGAGAGAAAAACTATTTAAAGTCATAGTGAGGAAAAAAAAATTCAACCCTTCCAAACAACAACAAACATACACTGCCAAACTTTATATCATTATCACTCTAGTGGAGAATTTTACTATTTCTTATACACAAAGTCCTGTTCACGAAATTTTAACACCTTTATCTAGAATTAATACACCTGTCTTTGCCTGACTACATTTCATAGACAAGATCTTTAATATTAATCTATTTTTACCATACATACATATAAAACCTGGGGATTCTCTGGCAGTTTTTATTTCTATTTCTAAAACACTGTACATCAATCTGCTTAGAAATACAAATTTTACAATCTCAAACAAGCAAATCTGAAGGCAACACAACCCATTTCCAACAATGCAATTCCACATTATAGTCTCAAATTTCTGAGTAGACATCTACATAAGCAAAGATACCAAAAAGAATCTTAAAAGTGACAAATACATTCAATGACCATGTTTTCAGAATACCATTTGGTCAAATATTAATGTCGAAGCCACACAATTACTTGTTTCAGCTAACAGTTTATAAAAGGAAGACCTATATAAACAGTTGTTGAAACTAAGACGGAAAAGGGAATCTACAGCTACTTAATAGAGTCTATAAACTTAAGTGAATACTAAGTAAAATTTTAATACACAGAAAAGTATCTACATTTTGAGGTAATGTAAGATCAATTCATAATTAACCAAATCATAAATGTTTCTATTAGAACCTTATCTCAGCAAATTGAAACTCATGATAAATTTATCTTTTAAGTAAAAGATTAAAATATGTATTTGACAGGGCTGTCTTATAGGTTTTCATATTCATATACTGAATTAAAAGAATTCTAATTTTAGAGATGCACTGTTATTAACTCAAAAAATAAAATTCACTTCTCCCTTTAAAAATTTCTCTTACTGAGAATGAAGATGAGGCAGGCAAGAGAAGTATCTAAATACAAGCTCTTTTTAAAACAAAAATTCATTCCTATGTTGACTAGAAGATACTATACAATAACAATTCTATTCACTGTAGATGTTTACAAAAAGTTCCTTGCTACCAAAACATTTCATATACTCATCTCTACCTCTGGACATAGTACTTACCTCATTTTGACTAAAACATCTTAATCTATAAAACATATACAAACTTTTTGCTCTAGGCAATCCACTGAAAAGTAGGAATAAACTTCCTCATTTAAAAAAAAAAAAAAAAACAGCTTTGTCCCCCAAAAATTTCAGAAAAAAAAAAAAATTCAAAACACATTTGCTATTTAGAATTCACAGTGAGAACTTTCTGCTATCACAGAAAGCAAATTGATAAATTGAGATAGCATAAATAGCACCTTCTGCCATTTTTTTTGATATTAGGTTTTCTTTAAACAATGCTAACTAAAATATTCACCAAAAACATTATTTATTCAAAACCATCTAATTTACAAATTGAAACAATGGTAGTAAATTTAACACTGAGATGAGGGTGAGAGAGCAAGGTGACTTACACTGGCACTGAATTTTTTAAAACAAGAGAACATTAATCATTTGTAAGCAAAACTATATTCTTAAACCACAGTGAGCAAAACACACTATACATCCACTCAAGGGATTACCTCCTACCTGCTCTTATCACTTCAATTAAAAGAGCTATGTAGTCAAGATGTTTTGCAAACATACTAAAAGTCAGCGGAAAATTAGAGCTAAAGAAATGAGAATTAGCATACCCAGATAAAACAGAGTAGTTAAGATACAGGGGAAACTATTAAGGAAACAGAAGGATGGAAAATGTTGGGCAAATCTCAGATGACCGTAGAGCAGAAGTTACTTTAAATTTTCTTATAATCAGCATTATTTATCAGGTAATTAAAGAGAATTTAATTTTCACAAATGCCTCCAAGCAACACTAACTCTTAACAAGGCGAAATATAGGGACTAGCAGATGGTATACCAGCTATGTTGCTGGACTCCCATGCAGTGGACCATGGTTCGAGTCCCGGACCTGGTGTCTTAAAACTCACACTGGCCACATGTACACATGTGCCCAAAATTCCAAGAGGAGAACGGGGGTGAAGGGACTGTGGTATGGCCCTCCCCACGAGGGGTCATTTCTTACTTTCTGCCTCTCTAGTCTCTCCAGCAAGTGTACATGTCCTACAGCAAAAATTGCTATTAAAAAAAAAAAAGTGAAATACATTAATCCATAAGAAAGAACTCTTTTTTAATTTTATTATTTTTCTTTCTAGTTTACTGTAAGTATAAGGCACGTGCACTCACAAGAAATAGAGAGAGAAAGCAAGCCTCCAGGTCTGGGGCTGGAACTATAGTCAGCCATGTGGGAGTCTAGTAACCTTAATCATCACGCCTCCTCAAATCGTTTATTTATTAGGTTCCTCCCCCAAATTAATACAAAGCTATATGCTGAAATAAGCAATGTAAAGCATCCTAAATCTCGTGCAGTAATAATATCAAATCATAACATTTATGGTAGAAAAAAGTAATTATACAGCAAAGTATAGTTATTTAATCCAGATTCCATACACAATGCTTAAAAGTTTTATCAGAACTGTGGATAGTGACTTGAGAATATGTAAAACCTCATAAATTAAAGGAACATTAAGATTAGATAAATTAAAAGTATTTAAAATATAATTTGATTTTACTATTCTTCAGGCACACAAAGAATAAACTAACAGAAATTTACTACGTAAAGCTGTACTAAACAAGTAATAAGAGGAATGCAACCAAAAAGAAAAGAAAATTATGAAAGTAGTATTATTTCTACATGAAGTAAACAATCCTAAAGGACTGACTGCTCTTTATTTTGCTCAGAGTGGTCTGAGAATAGAGGTAGAAATTACAGAATAGGAAGCAGAATGTATTTACATATTGAAATTTACAATATTGGTATTTTCTTGTTAAAATATGTATATGAACTCAGATATTGAATGCTTTCAGAAAAATTAATACATTTTTTATAATGAGAAAATGCAATTAACATTACCAACAGTTCAAACACAAAAAAATTAAGATGAAACAGACATTAACAGCTTGCCAACATTATTAAGTTTCCAGTTAAATTAAGAACTTGCCCTTTTTGCAATTCATCACTTCCGTATTAGATAACACCATTATTTTATTTGTATACAGACTTACTAATGAGATTCACTTTAGCTTTCAAGTAATTTACTCCATTTAGTACAATTATGATACACATGAAAGCTCAAAAGGACTCATATTTTAAAACTTCTAAAGAGGTCAACAAGAGACCTATTTTAATAATGATAAAATTGGTTTGGGTTTGTTCAATAGTTTTCACTTGAATATACTTAATCCAAGTCACCACCCCTTAGATCACGTCTATATCCACAATAAATACTGTTTGGTATAGCAAAAGTACAATAATTCAGGATAACATAATTTTTTTGCACTGGAATGCTTATATAAAAATTTTGCTTGGATGAAGGCACATACAATATTACAACTCAGTTCTGATTAATGTACAAACAAAACATGGGAATTTTGGTATGGTACATCAGTGATTAAGAAAAACATCAACAGTAGTTTGCACATTAAGAATTCATAATTTATGTCTGAATGTAATGAAACTCAAGTATGATATATTTAGGTGTACCCATAACTGGAATGTACTATTAGTTAATTAAAAGTATTTTAAAATAATGAACTTCTAGGAGTTTACTTGCTTGACTATGCTAGTTTTACTAAAACCAGAAAGAAAACTGTAATTAACTAACTTTGGGTATAAATTGGCCTAGAGGCCGCTTGATGGGTACATCCAATTTTAGAAATGAATAAAAAAATGTATTGAAGTTTCATTATTATGCCTTCAGGAAGTAGAAGCTGTCGATAACTTGCAAAGTCTCAAAAAATGTTAACTTTTAGGACCTATACCTTCCTATAAATGAAATGACTGATGCAATTAAGCATTTCAAATAATACTGGGCATAATCCACCTTAAACAACTGATGGACAAAATTTTTTCATAAGATGGGATCAGATGTATTAGTTATGGAGGAAAGAGCACTACATCTTCAAAATTTGGTGTTTAGAGTTACATGATAAAACATTCAACTCTTACATTCAAAAACTATCGATTTTAATAAACTTCATTTTAAAAGTGAAAATGTTTTGCCTCATAGTCAAAAAATATTCTGAAAATTATTTATAATAAATTTTGTTAAACAATGCATAGAAATTAAAGATAAAAATTAGTTCTGATTAATGTTCAAGCTACATACTCAAAATGCAAGGAAATTATTAAAACTGGCCTTGTTGCTTCAAAAAGCCCTTAAGACTATAAATATGTAATCCATAAAAGTGACTTACATGCTTATATTCTAAACAGTATTTAAAAAAAATCTGATTTGCTGTAATGTTATCTGTTCCAGTTAAAAAAATTGCAATTCTGTCAAAGAATTACATACACTTAATAATGCCTTTGATTTTGACCATAACAATTTAAACACTAACAAATTATATGACTAAGTTTTCAGTAAGTTTCCCATAGTTACTGACAAGAATGGCATAAAGAGTTATTTAACTATCAGAGGTTTCTTTTAGCCTAATTTAATTTGGATATGCCACCAACATATAAAAAGTATATTTTTTGTTTACAGAATAACCTTTTTATTACATGTAAAAGCATTTTAATGCCCCCCCAACCCTTCACATGATAAATGCTGTTTACAAATATAAAAATAAAATTACATGTGGAAATGGAAGCATAAACAGACTTTTCCCATTTTATGGAAAATGTACACAAGAAATAGTTTTAAAATACAGAAAAAAAGACAATGATTATGGTTTATGAATGAAACATCAAAGAAAATTATTTCAAGTAATTCTAACCTGAGATGTCTGGCTTGACACAATTTAAAATGTTAAGATATAGAGTATCCTGAGCCCATTTTGAGTAACTTTCATATCTTTTTTCCAAATTAAAGGATACTGCCTCTTTTGAAAATAAAAACCAGATACCAGAAAAACTGTCTTTTCTAAAAAAAAAAAAAAAAAAAAATTTTTTTTTAAAAAAAACTCTTTCTAAAATCTTTTCCCATTTTATGGAAAATGTACACAAGAAATAGTTTTAAAATACAGAAAAAAAGACAATGATTATGGTTTATGAATGAAACATCAAAGAAAATTATTTCAAGTAATTCTAACCTGAGATGTCTGGCTTGACACAATTTAAAATGTTAAGATATAGAGTATCCTGAGCCCATTTTGAGTAACTTTCATATCTTTTTTCCAAATTAAAGGATACTGCCTCTTTTGAAAATAAAAACCAGATACCAGAAAAACTGTCTTTTTTAAAAAAAAAAAAAAAAAAAAATTTTTTTTAGGAAAAACGCTCTTTCAAAGCTGAGAAAACATCCTCCTGTATAATATACTGTATTTAAGAATTTCTTTAAAATGTCTAGAGAAAAAAAAAAGTCTAGAGACAAATGTAATTAATTAGTTCAAGTAAGAAACTTTGAATTTATTTTTTTAAATCCACACACATAGTATACATATTATGTGCTTGGATTTTTATTCTTGTATTTTACAGTTTAAATATCTTAAATAACATGCAAATTATGTATGTGATTACAAGAATCTCAAATTTTTTAGATTTTAGAAGTACACAATGAGTCCTCTTGATTATTTTTTTTTGCTTTGTGAAGACCATTAACAATCTGAAACCTAAAAGTGCTAACTCTGCAAAACAATATTCAAGTATAAAAAGGTGAAAAATTTTACCTGTAATTACTTACCTGCTATCTCTAATGTTCCAGAAAACTAAATTCAGAATAAGTAGCTGGGTCATTTAAAATGTAGGTTTATACTGTATAAACGATAGCCCTGCAGTTATAATTACTGTTATAATACATACACTAAATAGAACAGGAGCCAGAAATACCCACCTTCTAACGATGACGATACTCGCGCTCTCTATCACGTTCTCGGTCCCGATCTCGGTCCCGATCCCGGTGTCTCTCTCGTTCTCTGCTTCTCTCTCTATAATAATCATCATGACGATCTCTACTACGGGATTTATGGCGCCGACTCTTTTCTCGCGATCTACTATGGTCCCTCTCTCTTGATCGTTCACGTCTTCTAAAAGAAATTACTGGATTAATTCAGACACCAAACTAAACAACTTGAAAAAATATTCAATATGCTGGTGTTTAAAAATTATTTATAAATCTACTTTATACTGACTACCTTGATCTGCCAATAATGACTTACCAACTCATCAACATGCATGAACCTGAAATTTCTTTTGTTTTTTAAATATTTTTAAAGAAGTACTTGATTTATTATTATTATTTTATAATTTACTTTAGGGAACATACACTCACAAGAGAGACAGAGAAAGAGAGGGAAAGTGAGAAAGCAAGCCATCAGACTTGGGACTCAAGCCGCAGTCAGCAATGTAGAAATCCAGCACCTTAACAACCATCTGGCACCTGAGATTTTTGTTTTTGTTTTGTTTTGTTTTTAAAGAATTATTTACTTATTTGCTACTATTTTTTAGAATCTGACCACAGAGGGAGATAGAGAAATAAAGGGAGTGGGAAAGCAAACTGCCAGGTCCAGGACTTGTACTGTGGTTGGATGTGTGGGAATCTAGTGAGCTAATCACCATACCATGTGCCAGCCCCTGAAATTTCACTTAAAAATTCATCAAAAAACTTACAGCTAGATATACCATGGAAATAAATATCATCTATTGAAACTAACAGCCTAAAACAAACAAGAGTATTTACTGAATGAACAAACACAAAGGTTAAAAAAAAAAGGAAAATTTCAAAGCACGAGCTAAAAAATAAGCTTTTAAAAAGATATAAAATTTGCTCAACATACAATTGAGGTTTAAATATATATAAACTATCACCTGTTACCAAACCTGTACAAAACTATCAATTTTATATATGTATGTGTCTATTTTTTTTTTTTTTTTTTTGAGAATTTTGCTATGGGCAGGTACACTCACCGGAGACACATAGAGACAGAAAGTGAGAAATCATCCCCCTAGGGGGGATGGCCAAACTACAGCTCCTTTTCTTCTTGGGACTTTGGGCATGCATGCACACATGACTGGCCTGAGTTTTAAGCCACCAGGTCCAGGACTTGAACCATGGTCAACTACAGGCAAGTAAAACAACATAATCATTATGCTATCTGCTGGTCCTCCATATCAATTTTATATTTCTAACTAACCAAAAATATGGTTCATCAGGAGCACTATACTCCACTGAAAAACTTTCTAATAATGTATATATGTTTAGGAGGAAGAGAAGAAACCTAATAACTATGACAAGTAGAAAAAAATCAGTATAGTATTCACATTAATATTTAATAAGCAGAAATGTTTCATTAAGTGTTTTTAAACATATAATTTACCCAAGGTTAAAGTTTAGATAGTAATACCTAAAAGTAATATAAAAGACAAAAAGGAAGTTAAAATTTAGAGAATATTTGAAAGAAAAAAAGGAGTAACTACTATTATTTTAAATAATATTTTTTATCTTGTATTTCTTCAGCAGACAGCTACACTTATGTTATTAGGTGTTAAGCTCTTTGAACAAATTTCTGTTTGGACTTAAAAACTTAAAAAGAGAAAGGTAGTAATTTTAAAGTTGGGGACCATACCAAAGACAAGCTCCTTTCAGGACCAGCTGATGTAGTAATGGTTACATCTCCTCTTGGGACTTTGGGCACACATGCATATAAGCTACCCCACACAGTTGACCATGGTTTGGGTACTGGGCTGCAGGCTCCCAAAATCCTGAGAGAATGGTGAAGGGACCATGGCATGGCCATACCTCCCTGGGGGCTGATTTTTCGCTTTCTGTCTGTCTTTCCAGCAAACACACGTGTCCTACAGCAAAAATCTCTCTTAAGGAAAAAAAAAAAAAAAAAAAAAAGACAAGCTCCTTTCCCTAACTTCATGACTCTACACTACCAGATAAAGTTCACTGAAAACATACTTAAGAGTATCATACACGGGAACCAGCAGTTAGCGTAATGGCTATGTTGCTGGACTCCCATGTAGTCGACCGCGGTTTACGTCCTGGACCCGGTGGCTTAGAACTCACGCTGGGCACGTGTGCGTGCGTGCATACCCAAGATCCCGAGAGGAGAAGGGATTGCAGCGTGACCATCCCCCCTGGGGGGTGATTTCTCGCCTTCTGTCTCTATATCTCTCTCTGTCTGTCTGGTGACCGCCGCACACACCCTATAGAGAAAACCTCTCCCAAAAAAAGGAAAAAAAAAAAAAAAAAAAAAAAAAAAAAAAAGAGTATCATACAAAGATTAAAGATCTACCTTTTTATTTTTTTTTTTTTGCTTATTTGATTTCTTCAAGATCTATCTTTTTTTAAAGGTATATAAAGTTTCAAAGTTAGTAAGGGTAAAGGGAACTACCTAATTAAAAAAAAAAAATCATTCTTTCACTCCCTCATTGAAGCTGTTATTTGTTTAGCACTCGTTCTATACCAGGCACTGTTTAGGCATTAGAGTGAAAGAAAAAGAAAGCTCCTAACACCAATCATCTGTGTTTTAATGAGAAGAAATGTGCACTGATAACAACTAGGTTATGGTAAATATTATGAAAGAAATAAACAGAATGGTAATGAGAGATTAACCTGGGACAAGATTGCTAAGAAGTTAAACTGAGACATTTAAGATAAAAAGTCAGGTAGTTGGGGCCAGCCGGTGGCATGGTGACTGGGATGCTGGACTCCCACATGGCCGACGGCAGTTCAAATCCTGGAAGGACCTGGTGGCTTGCTTTCCTGCTTTCCCAGTTTCCCTCTCTCTGTGTCTTGCTCTGGTCAAATTTTAAAAAGTCAGGTAGTAAAGAGCCAGGGAAAAGGGTTCCAAGTAGAAAGATTATCAAGTACAAAAATCAGTGAGGTGATCAATGCTTGATGTGTCCAGCGGAAAAGATGAGAGAATAAGGATAGAGAATAGTAAGTGGAAAGATACAAGAGGCTAAAAAAAAAAAAGTCAGAACTATAATACACAGAGCCTATGTTTACAGTCTTACAGTCTTACTTTATAGTAAGAAGTCTTTGAATGCTTTTAAACAAACACCTAGTACCTATTTATTTATATATAAATATATATATCTCTGGCTGCTAGAAATACTAAGTAAAATCAAATGCTATTTTAAAGTTTCACACAAAATGCTTTTAATAGACATGAGACAGGAAAGTTTTACCTTGATCCAGAACCATATGACTTAGACTCAATCCCATGAAGGCAATCTTGCAAAGAGCTAATGAGAACTTTGCAACGATCATCAGCGGACACTTTGGATTGTTTAATTAAAGAAATCGCAGTTACCAAAGTCTCAATAGCACTCCCATAATCACCTGTGGGGGAAATGAAAGGGACTGATGTCAAACAAATGTTATCTTCAAAATACTGTCAAATTGCTTGGGGAGAAACCAACAGAGTATTTTACAAATGAATTGTACTTTTAAACCACAGAGGATATCTGTTTTTAGTATTTTACCACTTGCAAAAAGCTTTCATGCTCATGAAGTTGACAATTTGTTATTATTATAGCTATGTGGAAGATGTTTTCTGCAAATGTGAGTATAAATGAGCTGCCATAAGGCCCCTAAACCATTAAATATCAAAGCTAACACACTTTAACCTAAAAGTCTTTCCATTAGACTTTCCACTAGGCTTTCACATCTTCAGCTTTTTTTTTTTTTTTTTTTTTTTTAAATTTTAAGTTATTTCTTCCTGTCATAACAGAATAAGGGAGAGAGAAAAGGACCCTCCTGACAGGGTCTTGCAACTCTGCAATCTTCTCGCTAGCATTTCCTGGCAAGCCAGATCATAGCCATGCATAGGTTGACCTAGAAATCAAACTGTAAATCTTCCAAATGGTTTCCGACAGTACAGAGTATTATGTTATTCCTGTGCCAATGGGGCTAGGCCTTCACTTTTTTTTTTTCCCCCCCCAAGTTTATTTATTTCTTCCATAATAGAGAGGTGCAGAGAGACAGAGATAAGATCTAGGCAGCCCCAACAGGGGGTCTTCATGCCATGACCCTAACCCAAGCCTAAGCCCAGCTACAATCATGAATATGTGCATGCTTGTGCCCAGCATACAGAGAGAGACCTAGGACATGAACCCAGACCTTCCCAAATGGCCTCAGCATCACAGTGTTGTTACTGCCCAGCAACCACAGCTGGTCCTCAATACTTTAAAAATAAATAGGTAAAGATCTGGGAATATAAGAACTACTCACATGTGAATGACCTATCACCAAGACTGTACTTGAGTTTTTAGGTCATTCCTAATACAGGATGAGCATCCCTAATCCAAAAATCTGAAATGTTCTAAAAATCTAACACACTTTCCATGCCAACATACCACCCATGAGTGGAAAATTTCACACCTGATATCATGTGATGGGTCAAAGTCAAAATACTGCCAACTCAAAAATACCATATAAAATCACCTTCAGATTATACATATGTCAGATTTAGACTCAGGTTCCATCCCCAAGGTTTCCCAATATGTGTGTGCAAGTATTTCAAAATTAAAAAAAAAAAATCCTAAACCCAAAGACCACTGGTTCCAAGCATTTCAAATAAAGGATAGTCAACCTGTGACATAAATAACACTGAACCAGAAGATATATACAAACCAGCACTAGCATCAGACACAGCTCTTGAAATAGCACTGCTTGAGATTGCTCTATTTCTATTCATGATTTCTTCAAACTCGGCTTCACTCAACGGTGTTCTTGCAGTATCCAGTTCCCTACAAAATAAAAACCTTAAATGTATTCAACAGATTTCTTAAATTAGTTCTAACAGTGCAAAATGATTGACATCGACTGCTTTTGACATTCTTACACCAGTACCTTTCAGATGAAATAAAGTGACAGTTAAGAAACCTCATCTTTCTGAAGGACAGAAACAAAATATTTACATATCTACAATGCAGTTAAAAAAAAAAAAAGGTCACTGCTCTTATTCTTTATCAAATACCTCCATAAATACATACTATCTTACCTTCCAGGGGGCCCATAGTCGCCCCTATCATAAGGTGGAGGTCGGCCATATGGGTCCGTTGGGGGTGGACCTCGGCTATCTGATGTAGGCATGCCACTGTTAGTTGGTGGAGGAAAGAAAGCTGGGTTCACATGTGGAGCTGGCGGCGGGGCACCTGGTGGTGGTTCAGGAAGATGCGGAGGAGGAGCAAGTGTAAGGGGTGGCCCAAGTGGACTTGGTGGGCGAGGTGGAAAGGGACCTGGAGGTGGAGGTGGTCCCTGTTGTGGAGGTGGTGGACCAGGAGGGGGGCCATAGCCTGGAACTGGAGGTGGAGGACCAGGAGGAAGCGGACCCAATGGAGGCTGCCCAAAAGGTTGTCCAGGAAAAAGAACTGGCGGTGGAGGGCGATCTCCTCGATTAGGAGGCCCAGCTAGAGGAGGAGGCAGAACCTGACCAGGAGGTGGAGGACCTGGTGGACCAGGTGGGCCTGGAGGACCTAAGGGTGGACGTGGTGGAGTCTGTCCAGCTATAGAATAAGAGAGAAAGAGAGAGAGAGAAAAAAAAAAACACTTCAATAATAAAATATTTACCGTTATATGCCAAGATTATACTGTTAATGCATAACTCATAGACCAAGATTCTTTCTCTTTAATGAAAAACATATGGTAAATGCTACACTAGCAACTACAAATAAGTATATCATTACAAATTTAATTAGCTCAATTTATGCTTAAGGAAAATTACAACAAAACTCTAATAAAAAAGATTACAAAGCTTAGAGATATTTTCCATCTTTCAGTGTACACACACTTCTTACAGTGAAATCACCCACCTTATATTCTACTCTGATGCCAAGCTAGAAAGTGAAACAAGGAAAAATGGTCTTGAAAGGATTTTTAAGAGGTAAGAAAATAAGACGGATGTAAATATTCTATATATAAGTCAAGCAAGTTTGGAGAAAAATAAAGACCTTTTAGGCCAAAAATGGGTATTTCCTCTATGCTGTGCCCCATATGCCATGGAATCCTAGTTTCCAGGAACAAAGGCCGAGTTCCTTTAACAAGATGCTTGATCAAATTTCCTGGATTCCAAAAATAGCATAACAAGGAGAGTAAGTCACATTAATAATGCATTACTTGAAAAAGAGAGAAAAGGAAAGAGGATTAGGTAGACACATTTTATCCATGATAATTTTTTAAAAATTTTACCTGGAAAAGGTGGGGGTGGCCCTCCTGGTCCTGCTGGCCCAGGAAATCTGTCCCCACCAGGAACAGCCCCTGGAAAACGGCCCCGTCCTCTACCACCTTGTGGAAATGCTGCACGTGAACTGCCTCCTGGAGGACCAGCTTTACCTTCCCCAGACATTTGTCCTGACTGTGTAGCTGCAAATATCCAAATACTCATAAATAGCACTTATTAAAACAGTTCTCTGGAATGTAGCCACTGCTATTAGAAACAACTCTATTTCAAAATTCACACATATTATACATAACCCGCAGATACTTAGGACCAGGCAAACTAGAGAAGTAGTCCTGGTTTAAAAACCATTCACATCTATTTAAATTCTTAGAAGTTTCAAAATACCCAGGTTTAAATGTATTTCCAATGAAGTACTTTCTAAATACCAGTACTTTCGAAGCAGCCAAGACCAAAATTCTTCAACAGACTTTAAATTTCAGTAGCATAGATGATATAAATTTTTAACATATTTTAAGTCTTATACGTTAAAACATTTAAAAAACCTTGAATTTCTGTTTATTACATGATCATCTTTCTTATCTCTTTGAACAATAGCATTCCTAAGTGTCATATTCACTTTACCAAGTGGTGAAAGGTCTTGGTGCCAAGCAGAAAAAAAAAAACAAAAAAATTAATGTTCTGGTCATCACTGCTCTCTCCCCCACCATGATACACATCCATACAGCTTTCATTCAATTTAAGTATTAGAATGTAGTTCTTCCTCTCTCTAAAATGGAAATGACAGGGCAAGCAAGAATGGTAACACTACTGAACTTGTACCCATTGTACAGCATATTAGGTCTACAGCATCTAGAGAAAACTGGGATGAGAACAGGTTTCTTACATATGGGTCCACAGTGATCACCACCGTTTAAGTCAAATAAGAAGAATGGATTTTCCAATGAGCTAAATATTTTGACTTCCCTAATATAACCCCTAACAAATGCTAGCAACATTGGTTAAAGCACACATCTTTTAATAAAAGGAGCTGAGGGGCTGCTTACTTTTCCTGGATTGCATTTCAAACTGACTCAGGAACTGTTTATTGCATGGAGTTACAACAGGATTCTGACCATGAAGTTCTCTTTTAGGCAAAAGATCCATTAACTTTTTTGAAGATGCTTCAGATCCAACACCAACAAGTGCAAACCTAAGAGGAGTTGAAAAGGACAATGGTAGAAAGTGAATGTTAACTGTTCTTTAAAAGGAAAGTCTGGGCCCGTGGTTAAGACAGGCTGGATCCCACATGGCCAACTAAATGGTTCGAGTTTCAGTGGCTTAAAAACAAACAAACAAACAACAACAACAACAAAAAAAAACCACCCCAGGCTCATGTCCTTGGGTGTCCAAAATCCCTCAAGGAGAAATGGAGAAGGGAACTGCAGTGTGACCATCCCTTAGGGGAGCATGCTCATTTTCCCCTCTCTCTCCAATGGGCATTATGTGCCCTCTAGCAACATTCAAATTAGAAAAAAACAGAAAATAGTCTAAATTTATTTTCATCTAGGTGACCACGGATCGAATCCCAGACTCAGTGGCTTAAAACTTAAGTTCTTGGGACCAGCAGTTAGCGTAATGGCTATGTCGCTGAACTCCCACGTAGTCAACCGCGGTTCGAGCCCCGGACCTGGTGGCTTAAACTCACGCTGGGCGCGTGTGCGTGTGTGCCCAAGATCCTGAGAGGACAATGGATTGCGGCGTGTCCATCCCCTCTGGGGGGTGATTTCTTGCTTTCTGTCTCTCTGTCTCTGCCTGGCAAGCGCACGCACCCTAAAGCAAAAACCTCTCAAAAAAAACAAAAAAAACAAAAAACAAAAAAACAACTTAAGTTCTTAAGGCGCTGGATTGCAAGTGGTCGAATGTGTATGATTAAGTCCCAGACCCAGTGGCTTGAAAGACACATCGCACATGTTGAGTGTGTGTGCCTAAAATCCTGAGTGTGGAGGAAAAGGGACTGCAGTGTGGCCTTCCCCCCAGGTGCTTTCTCACCAAATGCCCCCTGCACAGCTGTCTCTCTTCAGCAAGTGCACTGTAGCAAATTTTAAAAGAAAATGTACAGCTCACTCTTCTCAGTACCTTCAGAATTTTACAACCAATATAACAATCAATTTTAGTGCATTTTCATCACCCTGAAAAGAAACTCTATATTAACCGTCACTTTCCATTTCCTCCTATTCCTCATCCCTAAGAAACCACTAAATCTAGCGTCTCTATCGATTGCCTATTCTGTACATTTCACATAAATGTAATCATATAATATAGCCCTGTGAATGGCTTTTACACTTAGCATGCCTTCAGCACTCATCCATTTTGCAGCATTTATCAAGATTTCATTTCTTTTTATAGTTAAATAATAACTCCTTTATAGATATATCACATTTTCCTTTCTAATATCCACCAGTTCATACACATTTGGATTATTTTCACTTGTCACCATGAAAAGGCTTGGGCCAACGGATGGTGTGGTGGTTAAGGGTGCAGGATTCCCAAACGGCCAACCGTGCTTTGAGTCCCAGACCCGGTGTCTTGCTCTCTCGCTTTCCCTCTCTATCTCTCTCATTTTGTTCCTCTCTGGTCAAATTAAAATAAGTAAATAAAGTAAAGCTTAAAAAACAAGAAGCTCAACATCATTAGCCATAAGGGAAGTAAAAACCAAAGCCACAATGAGATTACTACTATTTCACACCTGCTAGGATGGCTACAATAAAAGGCAATGAACAAGTGTTAAGTGAGGCTGTGGAGAAACTAGAACCGTCACACATTGCTAATAATTTTTTTTAATATAAGTTAGCACAGCCACTTTGGCAAACAATTTGGCAATACCTCAAAATATTAAATACAAAGTTACCATACAACACTGTAATTTTACTCCTTGGTATAAACCCAATAAAACTGAAATGTATCTTCACGCAAAACTGGTACACAAATACTCATAGGGGTATCTTTCTTAATAGCCAAGCGTGGAAATAGTCCAAATGTCCATCAACTAATGAATGTATTTAAAAAGTGCTGCTGGGCCAGCAGTTGGCATAGCGGTTATGTCAATGGATTCCCAAAGAGCTGACCACTTGAGTCCTGGACCCAGAGACTTGAAACTCATGTTGGATGTGTGTGTGTGCATCTTCAAAATCCTGAAAGAATGGAGGAAAAGGTACTGCAGCATTACCATTCCCCCGGAGGGTGCTTTCTCACTTTCCCTCTCATTGTCTCTCTCTCTCTAATGAGCACACAAACCCTAAGAAAAAAACCTCTTTTTTTTTGAGGGGTTTTTGCTATAGGGCGCGTGCGCTCGCCAGACAGAGAGAGAGAGAGACATAGAGACAGAAAGCGAGAAATCACCCCCCAGGGGGGATGGTCACGCCGCAATCCGTTCTCCATTCTCCTCCTGGGATCTTGGGCACGCACGCACACGCGCCCAGCGTGAGTTTTTAAGCCACCGGGTCCGGGACGTGAACTGCAGTCGACTACGTGGGAGTCCAGTGACACAGCCATTACGCTAACTGCTGGATCCCAGGAAAAACCTCTTTAAAAAAAAAAAAAAGTGCAATATTCATATAATATTATGTAGTCATGAAAAGCAAGTGATACATGCTACAATATAGATGAACCTCAAAAACTATCTTTTATGGGACCAGCAGGTGGGACAGTGGTTAAGGCACTAGACATTTCCACACAGTTTACCATGGTTCAGGTCCTGAACCTGGTGGCCTGCTTTCTTACTCTCTCCACCCCTCTCTGTGTCTCTCGCTAGTCAAATTAAAATAAACGAATGATTAAATAAAATTAAATAATTTTAAACAAACAAACAAAAAAGACCCTATCATTTATATAAAATGTCTGGAATAAGCAAATTCATAGAAAGTACCTTAGTGGTTGCCAGCAGATGGAGAGAGAAGGAATAGAAGTTACTGTCAAAGGGTTTTTCTTTGGGGTGACAAAATGTTTTGGAACTAATCACAATGGTTGCTCAGCTTTTTAAATACACTTAAAAAGAAAATCACTGGATTTTATACTTTAAATGATTGAATTTTATGACATATGACTATCTCAACCAAGAAAAACAAGTTCAAGAGACCAGCAGTTGGTGTAATGCCTATGTTGCAGAACTCCCATGTAGTCAACCATGGTTCAAGTCCTGGACCGGGCGGCTTAATCTCACACCGAGTGCGTGTGCATGCGTACCCAAGACCCCCAGAGGAGAACAGAGAAGGGATTGCGACGTGACCATCCCCCCTAAGGGGTAATTTCTCATTTCCTATCTCTTTCTGGTGAGTGCATGCGCCCTATAGCAAAAACCTCTTAAAAAAAAAAAAAGTTTAAAAAATAATTAAGTATCAATTTGTTAGACAGTTATAAAATATTCTACATATTTCCCGGAGGAAATCTAGAAGTTTAAAAACCCTTTCCTCCTTAATACTTAATATGAACCTTTAATTAAATGCCTTATTTAAGTCAACAAATTGTTTCATCCAGGATTACTTTGGATCACAAAAACAGGGTATGTATGAAAAAAGAGCATAAATCTTTGGCCCAAAACCTTCCAATATACATAACCATATGTCCTGCTTAATATGTAATTAGCATTAACTTTAAGGAAAGTTAACTTGGAAACCGTTAACATTAGCTATTAATTTACATTAAAACAAGAGAAAAAAAGAAAGCAAAGTTCTTACCCCTTTGACTGGCCATTTGCCCGATTCTCAAAAAATTTTATCTCCAAAATATCATTCACTCCCAAAGAATGAACTGCTTCAGTTAAGTCTTCATCTGTTGTCCACTGTAAGACATTTTCCCCCAGATTTACCATAAATACATTCAAGATTTTTGTTTCAATTTAGTTTTTAAGAATGAATTCAGGATAAGCAAGAGAAGTTTAATGCTCAAGGAAACCTAAGTACCTCCAATTTTCAAACAGCACAAAAGTATCTGAAATCTAACTTATCTGATCAAGAGTTTTGAAAACTAGGGGACCAGCAGTTAGCGTAATGGTTATGTTTCTGGACTCCCACATAGTTAACCATGGTTCGAGTCCTGGACCCGGCAGCTTAAACTCACGCTGGGCGTCTATGCTGTGCATGCCCAACCAAGATCCTGAGAGGAGAATGGAGAAGGGATTGCGGTGTGGTCATCCCCCCGGGGGGTGATTTCTTGCTTTCTGTCCCTGTTTTTCTGGCGAGCATACGTACGCGCCCTATAGCAAAAACCTCTCCAAAAAAAAATAATAGTTTTGAAAATTAGAAGGCACATACACTTAGAGATAAATGTCTACTCTTAAGAGTTTATAGTCACTTCCAGCTTTAAATGGCTATTTTAAGTTTTCAACAAAACCTCACTTGTCACTTTCCCACTTTAAAGGAAAACATTTTGTTAAATAAATTTTATCTTACTTTTGAATATAAAATGGAGACAGAAAAATAACCTGTATTGGGTACCTACCATCAACTTTTTTTATGTCAACTATTTAACTCTTAAAAACCCTATAAATCCTATTTTTACTTATTCCCATTTTCCATATAATGCAATACAGGTTTAAAAGTATGCCATGGTCACAAAACTAGTTGCTGGTAAGGCTAAGATTCAAAATCTTACTTAGCAACCACATTCTTAAAACTATACTGCTATTGTGGCCAGTATTAGAAAGATTGCTCAGACAGGGTGGTGAGAGATTGGTTACAATTAGTTTTAAAAGAAATGTAAAAAAAATTTTGTTTCCTTTGAGTAAAATATTCACTATGAAGGAAGTAGAAAAATGCTAAGCTTGGGAACAGCAGTTAGCGTAATGGCTATGTCACTGGACTCCTATGTAGTCGACTGTGGTTCGTGTCCTGGACCCGGTGGCTTAAAACTCATGCTGGGCGCACGTGGGTGCGTGCCCAAGATCCAGAGAGGAGAATGGAGGAGAAGGGATTGCGGTGTGGCCAACCCCCTGGGGGGGTGATTTCTCGCTTTCTGTCTGTCTGTCTCTGGCTGTCTAGCGAGCACACGTGCCCTATAGCAAAAAATCTCTCCAAAAAGAAAAGTAAAGTAAAGTAAAGAAAAGAAAAGAAAAGAAAAGAAAAGAAAAGAAAAGAAAAGAAAAGAAAAGAAAAGAAAAGAAAAGAAAAGAAAAGAAAAGAAAAGAAAAGAAAAGAAAAGAAAAGAAAAGAAAAGAAAAGAAAAGAAAAGAAAAGAAAAGAAAAGAAAAGAAAAGAAAAGGAAGTTAAAAAAAATGCTAAGCTTTATTTCAATTTTTAGATATATAATTTAAAATTTTCAAATATGTAGTAATTAAGGAGATGCAAAAATTCTATGGAACCCTTATAGTGAATATTTAAGATTTAGTGCTAATAAAAACATAAAATGAACATGCAGTTAATGTAGTTCTCAACCAAACTTACAGTCTCATAAACAACTCAAAATAAAATATAATATGTATAGCAAGATTTCTATTAATCAGATTTGAAATTTAGAAGAAGAAATGAAACTCAAGACCACAATATAAATTAGAGCACAAACACTAATATATCAGAAGACACAAACACTCACTCAGCAAGGAAGACCCAGGATGGGGCATGGTCACATTGCAATCCCTTCTCCATTTTTCCACTGTTGGGATTTTGGGCACAGAACACAAATGTACCCAGTATGTTTTTCAAGCTGCTGGGGCCAAGGTTTTAAACTATACAGTTAACCATGTGGGATATGATTGCCTAAAACCACTGCCAGAACCAACCGTATGACCTTTATTTTTTAAACCATGAGTTGTACTGTCTCTTTCTCTTACACTTCTGAAACCTGGTTTAAGACCCTTATTGTGAGCATTTTTAGTAAAATTGGTATATCCAAGGTGAAAAAGAAAGTTGTAACATAAAAAAAGATCTAGAGCTGTTTTAAAGGTACTTGTTATTTCCCTCAATGCAAAAGTAAACATATATTCAAATTTTTATTAAAACAAACAAAAAAAACCCAAAAAAACAAAAAAACCACTGGGACCAGCAGTTGGCAGAATGGCTACGCTGCTGAACTCCCATGTAGTCAACCACCGTTCGAGTCCCAGACCCGGTGGCTTAAACTCATCCCAGGAGTGTGTGCCCAAGATCCCGAGAAGGGAATGGAGAAGGGATTGCAGCGTGGTCATCCCCCTTGTGGGGGTAATTTCTTGCTTTCTGTCTCTCTCTGTCTTTCCTCTGGAGAGTGCACGGGCCCTTATAGCAAAAACCTCTTTAAAATAAAACAAAACAAAAAAATTCTAGTCAAAAACATTAAATAGTTCAAAATCAATTACCAATAACTGAACTCATGTCAGTTTGACTCACCCATGTTAGATTTCCAATATATAATGCAATTCTCTTTCCAGTATATGTATAGACAACATTTGGTGCTGCTCCTTTACCCACATCATCACCAACAGTTGGTGGAAGAGTATCCATGTAATCACGGTCTTCTGGGGCATCTCCATTATTTGCAGATGGAGAGATGACATCATCATACAAATCTATTTGATCATGCCCACCATATTCAGCTTCCTGAGATACAGAAATAATGCTCTAGATTATACATCAGTTAGAATACTACTAAAAAGATTTTAATACAAACTGATTTGACCTTTTTATTTTTTTGACTTAAAAATCTGACAGAAAAAGGCCCAAAGAGCATAATACGAATCTTTTCTCACTTCATGCAGTATGTGTATACTTTAATGGTGCCTACAAAGATAATTTCTATATACTGAGTCCTATTTTTCCATTGATTATTTACTGTAATACAGAAACTATTCCTCTAGGAAAAAACAACATGGAAACAAAGTAACATAAAAACTTTCCCTTGAAATAAAATGTTACAAAACATGAATATAAATAAGTTAATTCTAAAATAGTATGTGACATAAAATGATCAAAACAAAAACCAGAGCCATTATAGTTTCTAATATTTGACTGCAGAAATATATAACTATCATTTTCTATGTATTAAGATCTTGGTTCCCATTCCTAGCTTTAGAAAAGAGCATAGAGCTAAACCACAGGAAAGACATGAAGAAAGGTGGGTATGTAAATTATTCAAAATGCTGTAATAAATGAACAAGGGAAAGACAGACAATAAATGAAATGCAGGTAAACCTTCCCAAATCAGTATCCAGCAAGCTTTATGATTTTTCAGTCAACAAAGAGCTAATGCTTACCTGACTTCTTAGATATCTAGGCAAGTAAATTAGCATGAGAAAAGTGATATGAATAAGGATCTAGTAAAGCTTTGCCACTGAGTGTGAACAGCAGAATTAAAGCAATGCCAATGATGCCACTGATGTAATAAGCAGGGAAAAAGAAAGCAAAAGAAATGTGAGCAGAAGAAAAATGGAAGATAGGGTCAATTTGTAAACAAGGACAAGAATGAAATGTAGGCATTAGCAGAACACTCAACACCATTTAACTGCCTTTCCTAACCATTACTGGACCACAAGCTTGACTAAGCCTGTAGAATAGGAAAAGCTCCATTTTTACCTTCCTCCCTTTTCACGACTAAGTCCTTAAATTGGTGTGAACTTTTTTATTCTTATAAGGTGCAATCATTTTAAGATAATAAAGGAAAAAGAGACAATTCTAAGGACAACAATAAACTTAAGAGTCCTGACATTACCTACAGCCTCTATCATTAATACAATTCATTAAGGAATTATTATACAATACTACATATGGGAGATCTAATCATTTTAGGGAATATTACATAGATAGAGAATGACCCAAAGAAAGCATCTGTTTCATAACCATCAACAAATCCAACAAAATATTATTATAGGCCCCAAGGGAGGAGCATGGTTATTATCTGCTATTCAGAAGGAAGTTGGAATATTTTGTTAAATGAAAAAAAAAAAAGAAAAAAGAAAAATACCTAGAAGGGGAAATATCATTTACATATAGCCAGAGACCTCAAAGTCTATCAAAGTCTATAAAGTCATCTAGTCAGCTTCTGCATAACTAATGAGCTATCAATTTACTAATTATATATAACAGAATCTTTACATACCAGTTTCATCTGTTATACAGTAGAATGTCTACAAGACTTATTAATAATGGGTCCAAAATCTCAAGATCAAGTCAGAAAACAAAGCCATGTTTAGCAACGGGCAGAAACTAAGACCACAAGTCACTGAATTATGCCACAATTTTATTTTTTGCACAGAAATATCAAAGTAATCTTTAAGAAATGAGTATTGTTAAACAAATTAACATGCTCAAATTGCAGTGACAGTAAAAATTAGAAAAAAAGGAGGGTAAGTTTTGTTATGAAGTTTCAGTGTAGCTGAAGCTTCAGGTGGCGTGGTTGCAGCAGTGGTTCCATACACTTAAAAGATACTAAAAAGGTTCCCACAAGGGGTAATGAGCACTTTAAACTCTCTTGCAATCCGGTTCTGTACATCAAGTAGAATTATTATTATTATTCAAAGGGAGTTGTGTTTCCATCTTCCTCAGCAGAGACTATAATCACAATATATGGTCTGAGGGAGAGTAAAAAAAGAATGCAAGAGTTAATAGCAGGACTAAAAGAAAAGTATATAAATTTACTTTCACTTACACAAATAGGTCAACACATTATTTGATTTTTTTTCGCTAGTTGTAAATCTGTAAAAATGTTTACATAAGTAAAACAATGATTTACAAGCGTAATTGCAGCTACACTAACCTGGTGCATCACAATCACTTACTATTTTTGTCCATCCATGAATTCCTATGTTGACACCAACCAATTTTCCATATTGATATGATTCTATCAATTTTGGGGATGAGCCATTTTGCCTGGTAGTTGGCCTGCTTCCAATTGGTTGAAGTATGATGCTAATTGAGACCATGGTCCTGGGGTTTGATCTCCATGTGGACTAGTTAGCTTCACTTTGTTCCAAGGCCACAGCCTGTACTCCTAGCCCCAACGGTATACATTTGGGCTTGGTGAAAAAATATTAATGAATCTGAATACATTTGCCACCATTACTTAAAATGCAACTCAAACCACATACTCTTTTCAAGTATCTGTTAATCTTCCTTTTTCAGCTTCATTATATCACACCTATCTTCCACATTAAAAAAATACAGAGCAGACTCAACCTTGTTCTCACTTCCATAAAGTAAGAAAAATTGCATATTCTGAAATTATGAAAAATGTATATCACAGATCATACATATCGAAAGTGAGCTCTGAA